GATATTACGCAGGCAACAACAAATAAACAGCCCAACAAGTAATTCATAAATACCCACAGATAAAAAACCCATCCAACAGCATGGTACTAACCTCGAAATAGCCTGAAAATCAACCCTACAACATGGTTTTTGAGAAGAAGAGAAGAAATACTAGCAGCCCACCCCAGAATCACACAATTCAACATGTAATTACACAATAGGGCTCAATCTAAGGGAAAGAAAGTCGTAGCCTTCTTGAAGGTCGTAGCCTTTTTGAACGGCCTTGGATCACTGCCACACTATCAAAAATAGAATCACAACATCAACACGGTCGTTTAAATACTAAAATCATCAAAATCGAAGACAGACCAATTCCGGAGTCAAAATTAGGAAATATCAGACCTGCTCTAGAATTTCTAAAATTAACTCCTTGAAATGGTCTTAAACCCTCCCTCGACCTTCTGTTCTAAAACTGAGCACCTCTCGGGGCGCAAAATAGCTCCATGCAATAACAAACAAAAATGCAAGACTTGGAACAGTCACTTACAGCCCAAATACACCACAATTGGAGACTTTTCGACATGCTCTAGACAGTCACCTCCACAGGCAATGCAAAATCGAACACACCGGACTTTGAGTCACCCAAACGGAGCTCTAGAACTTGAGATATTGATGTTTCAAAATGAGGTTGAATCTGATTTTTTGCTATATAAATAGAAGCGGTTCTAGTTGCTAAAAGCTAAATCTAGTCTCCAAAAGACTAAATTCTGGTCGCTAAAGGTCCGCACCAGCAACACATGATTTTGCTATATTTTTTTAAATATCTTCGAACCGACCCTCAGAATTCGTTCGGGACCCGATGAACTTAAACCAGATATGCTACCCCACTAAATTTGATATTCCTGACTCAATGACGTAGTTGAAATTTCCGTACGAGGTCATTGCAAGAAAAAGTGGGCCCCACACCCAAATGCTATTTTTAGCCAATTTTCAGAACGAGTCTTGGAATAAGACCGGATGACCCAGAAAGCGCACGAATGGTCGTTCTAGACAATACTCAACATTTCGGAACTAACTGCATTGAAGGAATTTTAATGAGAGTGTGTTTACCAAGAATGTTGACAAAGTCAAACTTAAGCCACAATTCAAAGTCTAAAGCGCCAAATGGCCCCAAAGTCAAACTAAAAGCCTTGAAACTCGTGCAAACCATGCTACTAGCCTAATTTGGCCACTCCAGAGCTGATGCAACCGTCAAATTTCCCATATGAGGTCGTTTACTCAAGGTTATGATTGAAATTAACTTTTCAAGTTTCAAAAGCTCCAACACAGGAAAACGGTTATAAAACCTAAATAATAGACAATACAATCAAATAGTCAGTGCCAACAAGTCATAAATGACTTGTGGTCGCTACATGAATGCTCTAAACGACAGAAAGAAGGCATAAACATGGAAATGACTTGGAGGGTTGATGAGTCCACAAATTGGACTCATTCAGGGCTATATTTTAATAGAAAATTGTGTCCTCAAATGCTTATTTAATCTCAATATCTGATGAAAACCTTTAAGTTTCAGGTATTTGAAGTTAAAGAGAGCATGGACACTACGTCGCAAACAAGGAACGAAAAGGGCTGAAAAGAACGAAGAAATGAAGGCACTACAACAAATTCGATTATCAGGGACGAATAATTTCGTCATTTATAAATCAAATTTCGTCACTTAAAATCTTGTGTGACGAAAAATATTTCGTCAATCAGTCGTCACTAAACGTGCGTCGCTAAAAGTATACAATGACGATTTAGTGCTTCGTCACTAATAGTATTATATTAAATACAAAAATAAAAATCGTCTCCAAATGCATTAATATTTGTGACGAATTTATTTGTCATAAAAAGTATAATTTTTTTGTAGTTAATAGTATGTTTTGTCACAAAAATGTTATTACTATCGACAAAATTATGTCGTCACTACTTATTTAGTTCAATTAGTGATGACATTAATTGTCTCTAAAGTTATATGTATTTCGTAGTTGAACAAATGTAGTTTCGTCACTAATGACTACTTTTTATATACAAAAAAATATTTTGTCCTTAAATGTATAAATTAGGGACAAATTTATTGTTATAAAAAAGCTTAATAATTTTGTGGTTAAATCTATCATTTTGTCACTAAAAGTATTATTTTTACTGACAATATATATTGTCATTAAAAATTATCACGATTAGTGACAATTACAATTGTCACAAGATAAAAAAATAATTCGTATTCAATAAAAAAGAGGTACTAGGACAATAAATTTTTGTCACTAAATTTAGTCAACTTGTAATGAACTAATTTATTTCGTGACGAAAACATTTATCTTGAAAAGTTTAATATAGTCGTTGCTAAAAATTACTTTTGATGATAAAATTTTTTGTCACTAATTACAAATAAATAATGACATTTAATTATTTTGTATTGGTATTATTTATTAAATTAGAGTTGCATAAATTAAAAATTAAACAATAAACATGCTAGATAATAATAAAATTCAGCCATGATCATATAATTAAAAACAACAAAAATTATATTGAGATAATATCTCATTATAACCTCCTTAAATAAAAGTAACATATGTCCAATAACAAGAAAATCTAACTGAAATATACTAAATATTATCCTAAACTTAGACAAATAATTAAAAGTTCCTTCCAAAGTAGCAATAATGTGGTGACACATAGCTTGCAATTGATTTTGATTCAATTCTCCCCTTTTATACCTGTGAAAAAAGAAAATAAAACAAAATTAAGATTTAATTTAAAGTATGTATGCTAAGTTTAAAAGTAAAATATACAACACAATTTGTCTTTCATATGTTGTAATGCGCAGTTTTATAAGATTATTGGATAGATGGTCCCTGGTATTACAATTCAATTTCTTCCATCTAGGAAGAGTTCTATTCAGTCTCATTTTCAGATACGACAACTAATTTTCTGCTAGGACCAATATGATTGATTGTAAACTATAATAAGTAATAATAATAATAGGATTTATGCTCGTGGGGTGGGGCTTGATTTTTACTTTTGATTCATTAGTTTATCCAAATGGACTTCAGTTTGTTTTAGTTAAAAATTAGTACAAGTGAGGCTTTGCCCTCATGGTTTATCCTACTTACCAAGCACAGTAGTTCTATTATGATATAGGCAATCAAATTTTTTTGCATTCTTTGTACCAAGTTACTCAGCCCTATATATGTTCCTGCAAAGCATTTGCTTGAATAAAATTTCCTATTTTAGTCTAAGACTAAGACCCAACCTCTTTATAAACTATACGAAGTATTTAAGCAACTAAACTCATTAGTTAATCTCTTGCTCAGTTAAGTTACTAAGTAAATCTGCTTATAACTACTTGTAATTCAACAGTAAAAAGAAGCACCTTCTATCATGCATAACTAGAAAGCTTCTGTAGATAGCAGTTGGTACTGGAGGAAGATTCACACCATGAAAGAAAAATGCGACGTTGGTATATGCAAGATAGGTACAGGTTGACTAAGGGAGGTGAATACTCAATCACAAGGAGCTATATTGATATTAGAGGGTACCACAACAATTCACATATTGCTGAATGCATTTGGAGTGCAGTGGCTCAACTTAAACATAGATTTATTCTATGGTAAGTTGTCCAAGACAGATTGCTAACTAAGGAAAGGCTGATGAAGATGAACATCTCAGTGGAGGAAGTTAATTGTTGTTTATGTGATGCTCAGAAGCTGGAGACAGTCAAACACTTGTTCAGTGAATGCCCATGGATCACTTAGTTCATCAAAGAGAGCTTGCAGATGTAATGTTTTTCTTCAAAGGCTGAAAGTGTAACTAGTTTTGTGTCTTGTTAGAGGTTGAGATGCAGTTGTTGTGCTCAAGGGCTCTTTAGGTGTATGTTTTCGTTTTAGTAATGGTAATGTTTAGATGGTTACCAAAAAAAAGATAGACATTATATTTCTTTTGATCTCCTACTCTCCTCAAGTTGTTGACTACCACATCATCTAGTAATGTACTAATTAACTTTACCTTTACAAAGTAACACACCTCCAAGACAACTCCAAGGAGTAATATAAACTATAACAATAACAACATTCTAATTAAGAGAATAATGAATACTATCATGGATAATAAGAGATCTCAAAAGTAACAACCAAGTTTAAACATGATTTTTTTTACTACTAAGAACTCTAACAACAATTTCCAGGACCTTCCTTTGGAGGGTAACAGTAAAGCACACAAGTTTTTCCTAGTTAAATGATCTAATATGGTTAGACCAAAGCTGCAAGGGGGCTTGAAAATAAGGGACCATTGTGACACTTGCAATATTTGGTTTCAAGGAATTTGTTGTTCTAATATGAGTTGTTTACAGCTACTACATCATATACATACTGAGACACCCCCACTTTATGTCAAACTTCATTTTCTTGAATACCTATCAAACTAGTTGCCTCATATTATCAAATTTTGCTAGCAAAAATTAAGAAAAAGCATACCAAACCATCACTCAATGAACAAATACACTAGCAGCAAGGAGTAAGAGACTGATAAGGATAGCAATTGTAACTCTATAATGTTCATATCCTACTCACATGGTCTTAAAAACTACAAAATTTTGTAATAAGAAGGAAATCTCCTTTTAATCTCTAGCTACTAGCAATGCTTCCCTCTATAATGTACTATATCATTTTCTACACTTTTTCCAGTAACATTAGAAGCAACTGAAATTTAAAGTATTGGGCATGTTTAATATTGATCTATTTTAGGTAAGGTATTAACTTGTACATCATGATATAATGAATTTGTATAGACTACAACTTATTAAACATGATTTTTGAGTTAGCAAAATAAAAATAGAAATATACCTTAAGTCTACCTTCTGATGTAGCGCTGCATCATAAAAAATTATATGGAAAGTTAGATACTAAATGTTACATATTTATATATTTATTAAAAAAAATCAAATAGAAAATATTATATAAGTTTGCATTACTTCTAACCTTGATGGCGATGAGCGAGCAAAGAGTTGTATCTTCCTAAACATGTCTTCTTGGCTTGCTACTACAGTGTCCAACTGAGAATTTAATGCTTTTATTTGTGACTGTTGGTCTTGAATCTGGGATTGCTGGTCTAGTATCTGAAACTGTTGGTTTTCTACCTTAGTTTCAGCTACATTTAATCGTTTCAGTAAGTCATGTTGGGCACTAGCAACTTCTTGTTACACCTTTTTGAGAGAGTCTTCTAACTCAGCCGTTCTCCTTTGTGTAGCTCTTGTAGTATTAGGTTTTGGATGATAACCAAGGCCTTTTATATATCCCGACTTTGTACCAAGAACAATATCCACATTTTCATCAATAGTCATGGAAGACTCTCCCGAAGTATATATATCTTTCAAATCAATCATGTTGTTCTACATAAAAATATGAATACTATTTAAAGGAGAAGGAACAACTTCTGAAGAATATTAATCAGAAAAATGCAATGTGTCTATGAAGTATAAATATTATTTTTCTTACATAATGAGTCTCACCCTCTAGAGAAAACCATCCTTTTTCACTCGTGTAATGAGTATGCTTGTAAAACTCGATTCTATCAGGCTCTAGTCCTTCAGGTCTAGTCCCACCCTGTATAATAAGAAAATAATTGAAATATTACTAAATTTTTATTAGTTAAAAGAATAAAAAGGGTATAACTTATCATTTCAGCACGAGCCGCTACAAACGCTTTTGACCCCATGAAATGATTAGATTTAAGCTAAGTTCTATTGACCTTGTTTATGTCGCATCATTTCTACAAAATAATAGAAATATTGTAACTTTAATAACAAAGACAATAAAATGAATCTAAATTACCTTATGATGTGGATTGATCCACATGTCACAAAGCCTATTCCAATTTTCGGGGGTCAACTCTGGCACTTCAATTTTACGAGCTTCTTCCTCGGAGTGTGCACTTTCAAATAGTTGTTTTAACTTGTAACGCCACTGTCTGCTTCTATTTTTCAGGATATCCTCGCAACTATCTTTCACGTAATGCTCATCCAAATTAATCTCAAACCTCTCCTAAAAAATCAAATAAAATTTGAAGACACAAAAGAATGATCAAAATCCCTGTTATATTAAAATAAAAATCATCACATCTCCTAGCATCGTAATTAACTTCAATCTCACTATTTTTTTAACATCTAAGCTGCATCTTCTTGATATCATTTATACAATCTCTTAGTTTATACAAAAAGTAATAATAATTATAGTTCATATGTGAGTACTCTAGAGCCATATGGAGTAAGCTGTTACACTAACAAGGAGAACCTAGAAAAACATTTAAATGGGCTGAAGAGTTGGAGTAGGCACAAGCTAGAGGCAAAGACTCTACTGCTTTAGTTTACAGAATGTCCTTGGCCGCATAAGCTTACAATATTTTGATTGAGATGAAGAAAATTGTGATCCAGGCTGAAAATATTGACTCCACAAGTTTCTATCTTCTTTAGAAACTATTTGATCCACAAGCATCTTCTTGATATCATTTATATGATCTCTTACTTTATCAAAAATAATAATAATTATAGTTCATATGTGAGTATTCTAGAGTCATATGGAGTAAGCTTTTACACTAACAAGGAGTACCTAAAAATCATTTAAATGGGATGAACAGTTGGAGTAGGCATAAGCTGAAGGCAAAAGCTCTGTTGCTGTAGTTTACAGAATGTCCTTGGCAACATAAGCTTAAAATATTGCGATTAAGATGAATAAATTTGTGATCCAGGTTGAAAATACCAATCCACAAATTTCCATCTTCTTTAGAAACTACTGATTTACAAGCATCTTCTTGATATCATTTATACGATCTCCTACTTTATCAAAAGATAATAATAATTACAGTTCATATGTGAGTACTCTAGAGCCATATGGAGTAAGCTGTTACACTAACAAGGAGAACCTAGAAAAACATTTAAATGGGCTGAAGAGTTGGAGTAGGCACAAGCTAAAGGCAAAAGCTCTACTGCTTTAGTTTACAGAATGTCCTTGGCCGCATAAGCTTACAGTATTTTGATTGAGATGAAGAAAATTGTGATCCAGGCTGAAAATATTGATCCACAAGTTTCCATCTTCTTTAGAAACTATTGATCCACAAGCATCTTCTTGATATTGGAAGGAAGCTTGAAGAGATGAATGTATACCCCTGGTTGTTGGTTTACTAACAATTAGTTGAGCTGATGTACTAGTTGTTTGTTTTAGTAGCAATCAGTATGCCCCTAGTTGTTGTTTTTGTAGTAATTAGTTGAGCTGATGTACTACTTTTTTTTTCTAGTTTATTAACGGTTCAAAATACTGACCACAAGTTTCCATCTTCTTTAGAGGATCCTTGAGAAATAGTTTAGGAAGGAAGCTTGAAGAGATGAATGTATGTCCCTAGTAGTTGTTTTAGTAGCAATTAGTTGAGCTGATGTACTAGTTGTTTGTTTTAGTAGCAATCAGTATGCCCCTAGTTGTTGTTTTTGTAGTAATTAGTTGAGCTGATGTACTAGTTGTTTGTTTTAGTAGCAATCAGTATGCCCCTAGTTGTTGTTTTTGTAGTAATTAGTTGAGCTGATGTACTAGTTGTTTGTTTTAGTAGCAATCAGTATGCCCCTAGTTGTTGTTTTTGTAGTAATTAGTTGAGCTGATGTACTAGTTGTTTGTTTTAGTAGCAATCAGTATGCCCCTAGTTGTTGTTTTTGTAGTAATTAGTTGAGCTGATGTACTAGTTGTTTGTTTTCTAGTTTATTAACTATTGGTAATAAGATTCTTATTTTTTTAAAGTTAAAAGAAAATATGAATCTCACAGAATAAAGAGAAAGAGATCAATGGTGAACTACTACTAGATATCAACAGATATAGATATAATCGAAGAGTTTGCCAAAAAAACAGATGGATGAGTTCTAGTAGTATCCGAAAGGCCTTAGTATAATCACTACCATGTAATAAATTTACTAGAGTACAAAATCCTTACGTGACATCTAATTAGTGCTGCATCTTTGTCCTCTCTTGTGAGTTCCTTCCACTTGTTTGGAAGCAATAGAAAGTTTGGGCAATTATCCCTAACTCATTGGATAGTTTTGATGATTGATCTGGTTTAGTCAGCCTTCCTTTGCCCAGTGGAATTTCTATTTTCATCTTGTTTCCCAAAGTCTTTTTCATTTTTTCAAGACCTTTCCCTCTAGTTTTGCCACAACCTTTCTTAAGTCTAGTGAAATCATCTGATGAAAAAGAGTCAGTTCGAAACACCACTTAAAATCTAAAAAGAAATAGTACATATGGCAGTACGGCAGAAGATGAAGACTGGAACATTGGGATTTTGCTTTATTTTGTTGTATCTTAAGAGACAACAAGGTCAAGAAATTTATCGAGAAACAAAGAGAATATAGGAGAGCTAATAACATTTATTTTGATCATTTAAATCATTCGTTGATTATAAGTTTCATGAATTACATAAAATGACATTGAATTCTAAAGTATAAATCACAGCACCTATTCATTAAGAAAAAAGATTCAAATTATACATATTGACAGAACAAGTACCTTTAGACACCTATTTTTTTTATGTCATAACGAGCAATGGAGAGCTGGTAAAAAATAAAACAAGTCTAACTAATACAAGTTATCATGAAAAAATGATTACATGAAATATGTGACAACATTTTCCACTTCTTAGAGTCAATTTTTGTAGCTTATGTAGTATATTGACAAAACAAAGTCACCTACAACTGCTCATACAAATGTTCAATGGCTTTCATGTTAAGAAAAAGAAATGTGCGATTATGAGTGATATCATGAAGCAGTTCTTTTAAAATGTAAAAATAACTACATGAGTTAAATCCACAAATTCACACATCATCCGAGATTGAATAACTTTCACTAGAGTGAACAAAATCAATTTGATTTATCCTACTACTTCATGTTCCCAACATCATTCTCACCATCCTTAGATACTAAGCTAATGTCCATATATTTTCTTAGAAGTTTAACATTAATAGAAGTTTCAATAGGTAACATTTTCGATTCCAACTTGGCCAATAACTAAATAATTTAATAGTAATCACTATCATAAAACATATTACCTGTATTAACATGAGTAAGGTTATTTGAGTCATCCACTAATTGAGTATCTTGAGTAGTTTCCCCTGTAAGTGTAGTTTGTCTAAAGACACGTCCACCCGGTGCCATTGATTTACAGAACTCTACCAAAACACAATATGTAAATTTAGTATGTTCATAAGATATAAAATCAATAGGTTGAATAAAATTATTTATACAAAAGCACCAACTATTGACAACTAACAAAAAATCTAAAAAGAACATAAACTATCAAACTGGAAAGTCTCACACACGTTATTTATTAATACGAGTTTTTTTTTATCTTCTTGTCCAAATATTAATTGAACTAATGAATCATCACTAGCAAATTAAAGAACAAGTATAACATATCAATGATAAATTTATGCAGGAAATGTCCAAATTTCAAGGCAAAAACTTTTCAGAAAACTTATATAAGCTAAAGTGTTAAGAAAAGGTTGTGGATTTGATAAATATTGAGCCTAGTGAAGAAATGTCTATTGGTTTCAACAATTACTATATGAAGACATATTCTATTGAGGTGTGTCATATCACAAGTAATTCTTCATTGATGGTAAGAAAAATCATCGAGGCAAGGTAGTTTGTTGTGTCATTACCAAATCTGCAAGAAAGCCTAGTGAAGAGACTAGGCAGTATGGTGTTTATGGGTAAGTTCCTTATCAAGAAAAATATATGTAGCCATGATTCCATAGCACCCAAAAGTTCCATGGGAAAGCCTCATAGTTCATCTCAATGTTCATCCTCAACATAAGTTTTGTCTTTGGTTGGCCTTGCAAAAAAGATTAGCCATTTAAAAAGACTGCTGAAATTTGGGATATTTGTTTCTCCTTGTATTTTCTGTGACACAACAGAAGAAACCATTGACCACATTTTCTTTGAATGCAACGTTACCCAGAAGTTGTGATCCATAATATTGTGCTGGATAGGTGAACCTAGATTGATCGGAAGCTGGCAGGGAGAGGTCACTTGAGCATAAAATGGAAAAAGAAAAGACTCAAGAAAGTGAAGCATCATTGGCTGCCTATTTTCTATGGTAGTATCACTAATATGGAGGGAAAAGAACATGAAAAGATTCCAGGGAGGCCACTCACTACCAGGAGACTAGGGTGGCAAGAGAAATAGTTGTCCATAAGGGGGAGGTTCTTGAAGTCCTGGCAGTCTGTTCTATGTGTGCTCAACCATATGCCTCGAGGTTAACACCAAAAGAAGCCGCAAGAACTGGAAGGATTGGAGATCAAATGCTATACCAAATTGATTAGCTAAAATGTAGTAGGGTTGTATTGACATCACTTGTAATAGATAGACAAAAGTGAAGTTGGTACTTCAAATTGTATTATTATTTTTTGTCAACTGAAACTTATGAGAAATAGGGGTTAGTCCTGTTTTATTTTGTAGTTCCCACTATGGTGTTGATAAAATTTTCTTAACCAATAACAAATTGCCCTACATAATATTCATCTATAAATATTTTGGTTTGGTTCATCTTGATAGAAAGTTCCATTACCCTATCTTAATTCTAGGTGTCAAGTTCCAGAAGCATAATGCGACAGACTTTAAATACTTGTTTTCACAATCCATGCTCTCTTCCCTAAAAATCTGAGGGGAGAACATCAATATACAACAAAACGAATGAGAAGTTATTTAAATAGAAGCTTGAATAGTGTTATACTTCACTAGTGTGTGTCATGCACCAATTGTAAGTATGCACACCACTTGAAACCGTAATCTACACAGTAAATTCGAGTATTCTTCTAAATGATCTTGTGAGACAAAAATAAAGCAAGGTCAATGGAGGTGCCAGAAATATCAATGAACAAATCATTCAATATATGATTACTGCACATAACGATCTATTTAATTTTGTTCAAACATAATGTGGGAAGACTGAAACATACCTGGTCTTCTTGTCCAGGTTCAGATATTCTTTCATTTTGCAATGAAACTTCTCAAATATATAGTGGTTATTCTGAAATTCTTTTGGAGCCAAAAACCTAAAAAAATTTAGCGCCAAAAGACAGTTTCTTTCTCCAGTTTTTGGCTTTCTGTACGTTCTTTGGTAGGAAAATTTAAAGAAGTGAAGGAAGCTGTTCCTCCAATTAACCCATTAACCCTGAAACTTAGGAAGTGGAGAAGTGCTCGACCAACCTGAGTTTTGCATATTATTAACATTAATAATTATTTTAATATATTTCAAAAGGGTATAAATGTCCATAACTAAGCATCCGGATAAATCAATTCCAAAATGAGCTTAACTCGTACATAGTGTCGAAACTCGAAAACGAACTTTTGAAATAAAATAAAAAAATTAAAAGCCATTTTTAGGGGAAAAAAAAGGACTCCTAAGAATGATAATACTCTTGCTTATCTGTTTGAGTGCACATCAATCTTTGTGTTGTTTAGCTAAAATTTGCCCCAAAAATTAGCACAACACTAATTTGAATAATGAAATAAATCTGGTCAAATTTACAATATCCAACACTAAGTTATGAATGAAACAATACAAAAGTATAGATCTTAATAGATGAAGGGAGTGGATATCATACCTGTAACATTGAGCACATCCGTAAAGCAAGAAACTTAGCTGCATGAAGAAATTGGAAGCTCATCGGAGGAAGTAGAGACAGTGGCTCATCGGAGGAAGTAGAGACAGTGGATCATCGGAGAGTGCTCAGGGATCATCATCAGTAGATTAGCTGGGAGCTTCAAGGAGGAGAAGATGAGAGACTCAAAGAAGCTTCCATACATCTATCAGATTTTTGGTGTTTCTTTGTAGAAAAAAAATTACTTACTTTCCTAATTAGATAGCATACATTTGTTCGGGCCTGGTCCGGGTTTGGGCCAGACCATTTGTTTCTCAACTAAATAAGATTTCAAGCCCAAATTAAAATGTAGGAGAAGTTCACTAATTACCAATGTTTGGTGTGTGTATCTCCTTTTATGAGTCTTCCGTATAATAGTAATTTATTCTGATTTTGGTAATTAGTGTTCTAACTTCTGATTTTGGAATTTGGTTTTTAATAATTGTTTTTGATTTTGTTGTTGCTGTGGTTTTGTATATTATTTAATTGACGTTTGTTACGTATTGTTTCATTATGTATGATATGTATCGTATTGTATTATTTTAATGAATACAATATTTGGATTGTATTATTTTTCGTCGTTATATAATGTCACATATCAACAATTTGAATGATAACCCTAAAAGAAAAATAGGGTACGGGGTAGAGCTTCTATAAAAAGTTAGGGTGAAGAATATAATAGGATATATAAGTAAAGACAAAATGAAAAAAAATATTAAAGTAACTATGCGATCAAGCCAAATTGGACGCTAACACAAAATGGGAGTACTTTTCATCATGAAACTATTATTCAAAATGCCTTAAAAGGGTGGTATTTTGATGAGTTGAGGTCAATCAACTGTGATCAATAGTTATAAATAAATATTTCCGTATGAAAACAATGTACAATAAGTGAGGTATAATGTAATCACTAGTATGGTATGTAATTCAAGTAAAATTATATATTATATTAGTTGTAACGACAAGTTTGTTCGTAGCTAATGTATAGAAATTTAACCAAACAAATAGGTCAAATTGTATAACTACGAACAAATTTAATTATATAGGATAAAGTTTGTGGGAATTGGTTAATTAAATTAACTATTATCTTGCTTCTCAAGTACTTTTCCTAATAGTTTAGTTTAGTCGCAAGGATTCTAATAGGTTACCTTATTCCATCTATATTCAAAATTAAATTTATAATTTTGGATTAAATATGTTTGATGTGTTAAGGGACGTCATCTACCTTTAACATGTTTGATGTTTTCTTCAGCAAGGTGGGAATTTTAAATTGTTCAAAACTTTCAAATTGTAGTATGATGGTTCTTTCTTCAATCTTTGGTGATGCAACAGAGCGCCTATATCGTAGAGCTTATGATGTTGTACATTTATTGTTGTTAACTTTGGCACTAGCATGAATTACACCAATCATCTCTCGAACATCAATGATAATATTTTCATTCATCACTAACGCCATGATTTTTTCTATTTAAAATCGTTTTTATGTGGACCGGGGTAACGAAGATGTGGTGAAAGTTGCAATAGGTGGGATTACTGATCTTTTTGGCTTCATCTGATCACTTTGATTTAGGAAGCTCAATGACCTTGGGCTATTGTCAAATTATTATATGCTTTGTTTTTTTAAAAAATACTCAATATTTGGTGTATTCTTAGCACTTTCTAAACAAAGGTATATTCTTTTTATATTAATTTCTTTGACCTTTGTTCTGCTTTTAATAATTTTTGTTCTCTTTTGCTCTTTGTTGTTCATTGCTTGCGTTTCCAATCTTGAGACTTTGTTTTATATTATCTGATTTATTTTGTTTGGTCATTTTTTCGAATTCTTGCATCTGGTCAATTTCTTTATTTCCTTCTCTATTATTTTAAAATATTTGTACTAATTAGCATAAAATACACGTACAATGCATGTCTCTGAGAACTAGTATGAAAAAACATATGACTTGCCAAAATAATAAAGCTAGTATCGATTTTAAGTTTATAATGTACTCTAAATTGACATTATAATAGGAATATTTAGTATTCACAAAATAGAAAAAATAGCAACAACCAAAAGAAAGTTTATTAATGACATCTTCAAAAGGATTTAAAAGACCAAAATAAAATGAATTGACTAAATTTGAATTTTATGTGTAGTAAAAAGATCTAAAAGACCAAAATAAACTAAAATAACAAAATTCAGATGTAATAAATAAAGTTTATTTTTAAATTAAAAAATAAATCAAATTGAATTATAAATACCTAATTTATTTGCGTGTCCGTATCATAAATGAATAAACAAATTTTAATGTCATTAGCATTTTGTTTCCACATAACATTAGTTACAATTGGGTTCTTATTAAAACAGATACAAATTATTTTAATCTTCTCTGAAAGAAAAAAGGCTACCCCTTTCATTAATTAAGGGATTGTGCGTGGTCTCTTGTTTTTCTCTCAGAAACGCCACCGCAGCTGACATCCTAAGGCGCCAGAACTGACATCCTTAGACGCTGCATCTTTTTCTCTTCGCCTTCTTGGTTTGTCGCCATCAATTCTCTCTGGTAACTCTCTCATTTACTTCAATTTAGTTCTCTCCTTAAACTTTGCTATCCTTTTTCTCTATATTCAATAGAATACTGAGTTTTGATTTTTGAAGTGATTTGCCATAAGTAGGGATTAAAATAGGGCAGGGTGGGGGCGGGATGAAACTCAATCTATTAAATAATTTAATGAGGCAGGACAGGTAATGGGTCTAAACTTTCAGCAGCAAATAATAAAGCAAAGGTTGCAAGTGTGGGTTTTCTTTCTTGGTGTTTGTTTGTGAGGCTGAACATTGTTAGCCATTGAAATGTAAAATATTACTACTTTGATGGTATAAATTGTAGTAGTAACTTAATTCAACCTCTTGAAATATACCCTATGATGTACATTCAATATACTCCGATATTGGTGTCTACTATGCTCCTGGACCTATTTTGAGGGGTGAGGTCTTTGAAGGTATAGAGGCAGTCCGTAGGTTGGAGACTTGGTTCATTAAAAACCATGGATTCCAGCCACAATACGCTGTCCCCGAGCTGAGTGAGAAGAACTTCTGGAGGATGTTTGATGGAGGCCTGTACGAGCACTGCAGAAGAAAGTACAGAGCCATTGGAACCTTCATGAGTGTGTACTATAATTCTAAGAAAGGAAAGAAGACCGAGAATGGGTTGCCGGACGCTGAGCAAGAGCCGACTGAACTTGAGACCCCAGAAGTTGACGAGCCTGCAAATTGATCATAGACTAGTTAGTGTTCATGGCTTTTCTTCCTTTCTTATTTATGTAGTTGTGATTGTCTGAATTCTGTTAGTTTTCTTGGTCTGTTTGTCATTGCGCCTTTGAACATTTTCTAGCCTTGAGATTTTTTATTTCAAAAAAAGAAAATAGCAGCCACAAGTGCCGAAAAACAGTTTTTTTTAACATTATCCTCAACGGCTGCTAGTTGCCTCTCATTCAGATTTTTCTCCTTCTCGATAGTTGCAGCTTCAAATCTGTTTCATTCTGTTGCGAGCTGTTTAAAATTCCACACTTCAGCAACACTTGATTCATTCCAAATTTGTTTAGAATTACTTGCGTCAATCAAAGATGGTGTAGAATGATCCGAAGTAATTTATTCCTTGCTTATCGTTACATATGGAGAAATATTTGAGGAAGTACATTTTTCCTGGGCATCTTTGCCAACTCCCTGGTCTACATTCGTTTCTCCAGCTTCATTCTCTATCAATTGTCATCCAAAATTTTCATCTCGCAACACATTAAACTATGTACCTTCAGCTACACAGTTACTTCCATCAAAACAAACATGTGCATCATTTTGATGGTACAACTGGTTGTTTGGAGACTTAGAACTACCAGTTTTCTTGTAAGAGGCCACAATCCACTCATCACTAAAATACTACAATGTTGTTATTTCCTTGTTCATCAAAGAATTGCTTCACAGAAATAACATGCTTAGCTGCATTTTTCATACCTTCATCAGCTTCTTTAGGACCAGCAACGACACTGTTTTTCACAGATTCAGTTCCACATTATTGTTGTCCAGATTTATCGAGTTTCGGCAATACAATCATGGCTGGATCAATAATATGAACAACATCTTGATAATCATCTAAAGTTCCATCCATGACACATTGCTTTGCAACCACGAGAGTAATTGATTGCTGCTCCAAATTATTAACTTGCGACACAACATGCTCTTTTTTCTGTTGTAGAATTCCATTTTGAATTCTCTTTTTCATTGTTAGAACCATTAGTACCTCTTTTTTAGTAAGTGTTTCCCTTGTATCACCTTGCACTTGGTTATCACGTCTTCTACAAGATAACTTATTTCCTTCTGGGAAATTATCTAATAAATTCACCTTTACCTTTACCTTGAGCAACATTTGGCCGAGTTTGATCCTTAGTTGCTTTATCAACAACTATAGGCTTCCCTACGGTTGAAGCTATGGAGAAAACAGAGAGTATCGAACACACATGAGTTTTTTATAGTTGCTAAGTAATATTTAAATTCTCTTTATTTTGTGCAAAACTATTTTTTCATAATTTTACCTGCATTGCTCATTACTAATCTAGTTTATGATACAATTTGAAAATTAGAAAAGTGCTTGTTAGTAACCTGTCTTATGATACAATGTGAGAATCAGAGAAGAAATTCTAACTAAGAACTAAACTAGACTAAATTAAGATAACTAAGAGATATTTTCATTGAGAAGCTCCAAATGAGATAAATGTGAACACAAATAGCCCTTCTCAGTGAGAAGGCTGAACTGAAAATAAAAAATTACACTTAGAAAAATTATGAAACAACCAAACTAGTTATTATAAACTATAGCCGTCTATTTGAAGCTCCGGATGTTATAAACTAATTGTAACTCCTTGACTAACCAAAACAGTTGTATAACCCTTATAGCCATCTGTATAACTTCTTAAGAAGCCAAAACTTTGATTAAATTTCTAATCGTATCAGTACACCCCACTAAAAGTTTTCCTTATCCTTAAGTAAGGAATGTTGAAACTCGAATCTTAACACATTAGCAACTTTCCTAGTAGCTTGCTCTTCTGTTAGTTGTTTAGATTGAGTAAAAAACTGTAAAGATGCTTGTTACCATTTTGAATCATTCTTCTATGCAACACTAGATACAAAATTTATCAAGAACAATGTAGAAAACTTCAAGAGTTATATGTCGAAGGTATGTGTTAAGGTCCCTAGTTCTGGATCGAGTCGCTGGACGATTAACCGAAAAGTCAGGTCCAATAGACAGGTCTAAGCCCATGTTCTTGTTCCTTGAATTGCCTATGATTGCTGAAATTCGCAATTCATTCAAGGAATTGCAGACCTGGGAACTTGCTTGATAAAGTTCCGAATCTCTGAAACTTGATAAAATCCAACTTATTTTATTAATAATGTCAACTCTCTTAAATAGAGGTTTACAATAGCAAGAGTCGTAATAAATTAGAAATAGCAAAGTCCTATACAACTAAAATAATAAGAATCCTAATCCACTCAGAAAGTCTGTTCGACTAAAACAATAATTCAGAAATATTAATCATTCTTGCGTTTGTAATATTGTTTCCCGACAAACGAATCAATAACAGTATGATGCAACACTATTCTAGACTCTCACTTACTTTCCCTACTGATTCAGATTGTTCACCTTGTTGTATAGCTACCTAAATTTATTGTTAATAAAAATGTTAACATGAAAACATATTGCTCTTGTTTACTTTATTCCTGCTAATCCTTCCCCTTAAAGACAGATTTCTCCAAGATCAACAGGTAAAACACCTAGAAGCTTATTTCTGCTAGTAGTCTATCATTGATGGAATGTTTTTTTTCGTAGTTATTTTATTTTAAAGAATCTTGTATGTGCTTCTTCTATGATATTTATCTGATAAGTGATGTGTTTGTGCAGTTGATCATGGATAGCGGCTGGATGCATGAAGCAAAGTTCTCTAAAAGATATGTTGAGGGTGTTCACTCTTTTATGCAACTTGTTCGGTCTCACTTTGATCGAAATTCTAAAGTTCGATGCCCATGTCAAGATTGTTTAAATGTATTTTTTAAGACACAAGAAGTAGTGTATGACCACCTGTTGATAAAGGGAATTATGGGAAGTTACGTGCAATGGATATACCATGGGGAACAATCCCAAATGAGTTATAACGATGAAGTGATTTACAATGAAGATGAAAATGAAGAGCATGACAATGATGACAAAATTCACACTATGTTAGAAGAGGTTAGTGGAAAATCATTTGTCCATTTTTCGGAGGAGACAACAACCGATAATAATGTGTGCGGTAATATGAGTGAGAAGGAAGCCAAAAGGTTTGACAAATTGCTGGAAGAAGCTAAATGTGAACTATACCCGGAATGTAAGAAATTCTCAAAGCTTTCGTTTCTTTTGAAGTTGCTACACTTGAAAGTGTACAATCAATGGAGTAATAAATTGTTTGATATGTTACTGGAGTTACTAAAAGAGGCATTGCCTACTGGTGAGACACTTCCTAAGTCCTATTATGATGCTAAAAACATGTTACAAGGTTTGGGATTAGGATACATTTCGATTAATGATTGAAAAAATGATTGTGTGTTGTACTGGGCTGAACATAAAGATAGACAAGAGTGCCCACATTATGGTATTTCGAGGTGGAAAATTGATAATGGAAAAGATAAGAAGATTCCTCATAAAGCCTTGCGGTATTTTCCATTAAAGCCTAGACTTCAACGATTATTTATGTCTAGTAAAACAAGTGTGGACATGAGGTGGCACAAAGAAAAACATCTTGATGAGGAAAATGTGTTAAGACATCCCGCTGATTCTGAAGAATGGAAAGAGTTTGACAAAAATCATCCGTGGTTTGCACAAGAACCTCGTAATATTAGACTCCGTCTTGCAACTGATGGTTTTAACCCATTCGGTAACATGAGCACATCGTATAGTATGTGGCCTGTTATTCTTGCTCCTTATAATCTTCCTCCTTGGAAATGCTTTAAGGACCCATTTATGATGATGTCACTGCTTATTCCTGGTCCTCAAGCACCAAGAAAGGATATTCAAATGCAAGTGGTTTGATCTCTGCAAGAAAACAGGGATGCAAAAAGACAAAAATTTTACGAGCATTTGTGTTAAAAGATTTTGGTATGAACGTGATTCTTTTGTACTAGCTACTCAAGCAAAGCAAGCATTTTACATTGATGACCCAAAATTGGGAGAGAATTGGCAAATTGTGCTCAAATTTCAAGATAGACGCTTATATGATGTGCTTGAGAGAGAAACTTTGGAGACTGAAAGTGATGAGTTACATATTACAAATGATGAAGTGTATCAAGACATGTCACTGGAAAGTAATTCAATTGTCTGTGATACAGTGGATATGTTGAGTCAACTACATAGAGATGATGTTGATTCAGTTATCTTGGATGCAAATGTAATTGAATTAGAGGCTCAAAAAGAACATGAAGTTCATTATAACGAAGAAAATTCTGACCAAGAGGATGAAACTATGATAGAGTACATCAGTGATCATGAGGAGAATGGAGGTAATATTGATACTAATGACAATGAAGCTGATACAACAAGTGATGGTGATGATATTGGCTTGTGA